TGTTCTAAACCACAAGGTCTTAGGCCAGACATCCTGTGTCCTTCTCATTGTTATGCTAGTTTCTACTGCTGAGGCTACCACAGCAAAGTTACAACATTCTTTTAATATACAGAAGTCTACTATGGATTCGAAAACTTTTCAGATATAGTCATTTCTGTTGCTCTATATAATTATTTTAATGTAAAATTTCACTCTTTTTCTAACAAAATCAAATACAATTCAACCATGAAAAGCTGAAGAAAATTTAAACAATACTAGGTTTACTTTGTGACCTAGCTAAGCATAAAAAGATACACAAGAATGCTTAACCACCATCTGGCCTCAGTTATGCCTGTATCAGGACATATCTGCTCAGCCTAACTATTCTCACCCACACTGCATCTTCCCACGCATGCATTCTCGTAATGCAAGCATGGTATTTAATTACAAGGGGATTCCTCCAACAAATTTACCTTGAATGAACCCATATTTATATTGATCCTGCCTTTTTGTGCTTCCTTTTTTTCTCTTTTTGTGTCCTTCAATGACATGAAGACTCAAAGTCTAAATATATTTATTATGTGCCCATTTGGATAAATAAACTAAAGATGCTTTGGGGCTAGGGATGCTAGCTACTCTTGAATAATATGAGGCACGTTTAAAAAGAGAAGACAGTGTCTGGAAGAAGCCGCAAAGACAGTTTCCACAAAACTATTAATAGTGTTTGTAAGCCTCCAGTAATATTTATTGTTATAAAACACTTCAAACACTTAAAAGAACCTGCTCTGGAAATATTCCTGATGCTGGGATGACACTGAGCAATCATCTCAGTTTGGCTGTCTTTTGCTAAAATGATGAAGGAAGAAAGAGCATCATTTAGTTAAACTGGAGTGGGCAGCGGTAGTGCTTTGGACTACCAAGGTTGTGCTTTGGATGCAGGACTGAGTAAGAGCCTTTCAAGAAGCGGAACCCTGCGGTTAGGTCTGGTTTGGGTAGATGGAGGAGGAATAGGGGGAAGTTTGTCCGCATATTACCAGTGGTGAGATAATGTCACAGAGCAAGGTGAGTGGGGCAAACCCACTTGTAATTCATCTTCAGGATGGGTTGATTGAACAGTGGAAGGATGCACTGATGAATGGATGGATGGAAGGATGGATGACTGATGGACTGATCGCCTTTGCATCATCACCCAGCTCCATGACGTCATTGCACATCACTATCATCCCAAACCTTAATCTTCTGAAGGCTTTTGCAGAAACCCACAAATCCAAGCACAGAAGGAAAAAACATGGCCAGGTACCAGCGGAGCAGCACCACCCACCAGAGCAGCCGCCTGCAATGCAGATACCAAAGGAAAAGACACCAGAGCGGCTACCACTCAAGGCGCCGGAAGAAACTCTGATCTAGCTGCAGCAGGCAGAATTGCTCCAAGCGCCGGCAGAGCTGCTACAACCAGAGAAGGCAACACAGAGGTGGGAGTAACTGCAGGGGTCAATGTGTGTCCACGGGCACCGCAAGGATGTCCTGGGCACCGCAGCTCTGGGCCATGGAGGGGTGGCAAGGAGGAGGGAACGGGGTGCATAGCTCATGCTCACGGCCAGCTCTGTTCCCCACCAGGTCGCCAATCTCGATCACGGAGGAGATACTGATCTTTCTGCCAGCTTGCTCCCATGCGGGGGTGTCCTGGCCATTGGCTGCCGCCTGCCCCATGATCTGAGAAGTCATCACAGGTCTACCACCGCTGGGCAGGCCAACTCACAATAAACTGCTGAAACATGGATGCTGTCTTGCCTGCTGTTGCAGGGGTTGTAAAGGACTGAGCCAGAGCTTGGGACCAGGAGCCTAGGCTGCTCTGTGCTGCAGAGACTCCTCAGCCCCCCGGCCGATATGTTTTGGGAAAAGCATCCCCAAAGTGCCACCTAGACTGGTGGCAACCCCAAAAGCCCTTCTGTCCCAACAGACACTCCACACTTGGAAGACATGGAGAAGTTTTGTGCTTTTGCCAGCATAAAACCTGCCATGGACAAGGGTGCACTTGTGGCTGGGGTTGGCACCACAACAGCTGTCGTAGAATGAGAGAACGATTTGGGTCGGAAGGGACCTTATAGTTCATCCAGTAACAAGCCTATGCAACAAGCAAGGGACACCTTCTACTAGACCAAGTCACTCAAAGTTCTGACCGTTCCTGGGAACAGGAGCACATGGCAGGACCGAGTATTGCCCTTTAGAGGGGATTTCTGCACAATATGTTTCACTCTTCCCAATCAAGTCATTCCTTTCTCGAGGTCAGCAGGACGTGCTGAACAGCGGTGAGATATGGCACCAAGGGGCATAAGCTCGTCCGTCTCACAGTGTGTTTCACATCTAGAAGTTCCAAGACCTCTTCATCTCATAGTACCTTGGAAGCAGAGATAATAGTGTCTGTGTAAACACATCCTGCATCATGACGCAGGGGTCTCCTTTTTTTCAGGTGTCACTGCACAGGCGGGTGAGAAGAAACAGACCATCAGAAGGTACTTGTAACTGTGGAACCTACTGGAAGAGATCCCCTTGGCACATTCTACATGAAACACAATCTCATGTGCATGTTCCCTCACCTTAATTTCCACAAAAATATTTATAATGTTTGTAAATCCTCAAGGATCATTTAGTTTTATTAAAGCACTTCAAAGCACTTAACCTGCTCTGGGAATATTCCTGATGCTGGAAAGACACTGAGCAAGGCAACTCAATTTGATTTTCTTTCCCTGAAAGACTGAAGAAAGAAGCAGCATCATCCAGCAGCGCTGGGAGCCAGCTGTGCTCAGTAGCATGGCTGTGCCTGGGATGTGAGACTGAGCAGGGGCCTTTGGGGTGCCAAGCTCCTGCACAAGATCTGGTTTCTGAACATGGGGTGGAACAGGGAGAGCTTTTTCTCCAACTCACTGCTCGTTGGAGAATGTCACTGGGCAGGGTTTCTGGGGCAAAGCCCCTCTTCCTCCACCTTAGGAATGGTTTGGATAGGTGGGTGGATGGTGGGTGCACTGATTCCCTTTGCATCGCCACCCAACTATATGATGTCACTGCATGTCACAGTCACCCCCAGCTATATCTCGTGCAGGCTGTGGCAAAGCCCTGCATAGTCAAGCACAGCAGCAAGCAGCATGGCCAGGTACCAGCAGAGCGGCAGCCGCCTCCGATCCAGACGCCGGCAGAGCAGCCGCCGGAGGGGATACCGTTCCAGGCGCCAGAGGAGAAGCCGCTCTAGCCGCCGGGGGCAACGAGTCTCCAGGCGCCGGCAGAGCCGCAACAGCCAGAGTAAACGACGCAGAGGTGGGACTGACAGCAGGGGTCAGCCTGTGTGTCCAAGCACCACAAGGATGTCCTGGGCACCGCAGCTCTGGGCCATGGAGGGGTGGCAAGGAGGAGGGAACGGGGTGCATAGCTCATGCTCACGGCCAGCTCTGTTCCCCACCAGGTCGCCAATCTCGATCACGGAGGAGATACTGATCTTTCTGCCAGCTTGCTCCCATGCGGGGGTGTCCTGGCCATTGGCTGCCGCCTGCCCCATGATCTGAGAAGTCATCACAGGTCTACCACCACTGGGCAGGCCAACTCACAATAAACTGCTGAAACATGGATGCTGTCTTGCCTGCTGTTGCAGGGGTTGTAAAGGACTGAGCCAGAGCTTGGGACCAGGAGCCTAGGCTGCTCTGTGCTGCAGAGACTCCTCAGCCCCCCGGCCGATATGTTTTGGGAAAAGCATCCCCAAAGTGCCACCTAGACTGGTGGCAACCCCAAAAGCCCTTCTGTCCCAACAGACACTCCACACTTGGAAGACATGGAGAAGTTTTGTGCTTTTGCCAGCATAAAACCTGCCATGGACAAGGGTGCACTTGTGGCTGGGGTTGGCACCACAACAGCTGTCGTAGAATGAGAGAACGATTTGGGTCGGAAGGGACCTTATAGTTCATCCAGTAACAAGCCTATGCAACAAGCAAGGGACACCTTCTACTAGACCAAGTCACTCAAAGTTCTGACCGTTCCTGGGAACAGGAGCACATGGCAGGACCGAGTATTGCCCTTTAGAGGGGATTTCTGCACAATATGTTTCACTCTTCCCAATCAAGTCATTCCTTTCTCGAGGTCAGCAGGACGTGCTGAACAGCGGTGAGATATGGCACCAAGGGGCATAAGCTCGTCCGTCTCACAGTGTGTTTCACATCTAGAAGTTCCAAGACCTCTTCATCTCATAGTACCTTGGAAGCAGAGATAATAGTGTCTGTGTAAACACATCCTGCATCATGACGCAGGGGTCTCCTTTTTTTCAGGTGTCACTGCACAGGCGGGTGAGAAGAAACAGACCATCAGAAGGTACTTGTAACTGTGGAACCTACTGGAAGAGATCCCCTTGGCACATTCTACATGAAACACAATCTCATGTGCATGTTCCCTCACCTTAATTTCCACAAAAATATTTATAATGTTTGTAAATCCTCAAGGATCATTTAGTTTTATTAAAGCACTTCAAAGCACTTAACCTGCTCTGGGAATATTCCTGATGCTGGAAAGACACTGAGCAAGGCAACTCAATTTGATTTTCTTTCCCTGAAAGACTGAAGAAAGAAGCAGCATCATCCAGCAGCGCTGGGAGCCAGCTGTGCTCAGTAGCATGGCTGTGCCTGGGATGTGAGACTGAGCAGGGGCCTTTGGGGTGCCAAGCTCCTGCACAAGATCTGGTTTCTGAACATGGGGTGGAACAGGGAGAGCTTTTTCTCCAACTCACTGCTCGTTGGAGAATGTCACTGGGCAGGGTTTCTGGGGCAAAGCCCCTCTTCCTCCACCTTAGGAATGGTTTGGATAGGTGGGTGGATGGTGGGTGCACTGATTCCCTTTGCATCGCCACCCAACTATATGATGTCACTGCATGTCACAGTCACCCCCAGCTATATCTCGTGCAGGCTGTGGCAAAGCCCTGCATAGTCAAGCACAGCAGCAAGCAGCATGGCCAGGTACCAGCAGAGCGGCAGCCGCCTCCGATCCGCCGGCAGAGCAGCCGCCGGAGGGGATACCGTTCCAGGCGCCAGAGGAGAAGCCGCTCTAGCCGCCGGGGGCAACGAGTCTCCAGGCGCCGGCAGAGCCGCAACAGCCAGAGTAAACGACGCAGAGGTGGGACTGACAGCAGGGGTCAGCCTGTGTGTCCAAGCACCACAAGGATGTCCTGGGCACCGCAGCTCTGGGCCATGGAGGGGTGGCAAGGAGGAGGGAACGGGGTGCATAGCTCATGCTCACGGCCAGCTCTGTTCCCCACCAGGTCGCCAATCTCGATCACGGAGGAGATACTGATCTTTCTGCCAGCTTGCTCCCATGCGGGGGTGTCCTGGCCATTGGCTGCCGCCTGCCCCATGATCTGAGAAGTCATCACAGGTCTACCACCACTGGGCAGGCCAACTCACAATAAACTGCTGAAACATGGATGCTGTCTTGCCTGCTGTTGCAGGGGTTGTAAAGGACTGAGCCAGAGCTTGGGACCAGGAGCCTAGGCTGCTCTGTGCTGCAGAGACTCCTCAGCCCCCCGGCCGATATGTTTTGGGAAAAGCATCCCCAAAGTGCCACCTAGACTGGTGGCAACCCCAAAAGCCCTTCTGTCCTGACAGACGCTCCGCACTTCGAAGCCACGGAAAGGATGTGCTTTTGGCAGCATAGAAACTGCCATGGACAGTGATGTGCCAGTCCCTGGGGTTGGCTGGACCACAGCTGTATGCAAAATTATAGTCATAGAATCAGAAAATGTTTTTTTTATGGAAGGGACTTTAAAGCACTTCCAGGGAGTATCCTGTGCCACGTGTACTAATCACCTTTTTCCAATCATCGTGAAATATGGCTTTGAACTCTGCCAGGGATGCGGGAGCCACAGTTTCTCTGGGCAGCCTGTGGCAGTGCCTCACCATCTTTATAGTTGGACACTCGTATGTGATTATTTGGTGTGGTTTTCAAATCAGTGCCTCTCTTACATATTTTATAGTCTAATATTTCTCATGGGATCAACATATTAAATCGAGACGTAATTTACTTCAACTTCCATGTGCTTTATGGTTGAAATACATTTACTGGGCTAAAGTGGTCAGTGACATGATTGGGACTGATGCTTTTAGGGGCTCAGGTCTTCCTGCAGATGTATATGTATATAATGCATTCTACCTCTTTTTCAATTGCTTTTTGAGGAACTAAAATATAAAAAACATGGAGGTAAATAGGTGACTTGCAAAGAGAAATTCATAAAATATTTTGACAGTTCTATAGAAATATTTCCTGAGCCTCTATCCATGAATACTAACCACGCTTTAAATTTCATTCTTCATGATGACCCACTGAAAGCATTTGTCAGTGAAGCTGTTCTTATTTATATCTTTTTCCAAATGTTTATGGCACTTTCATTTGTACTGGACATGACATTTAGCATGTAGCTAAATGTGTATTGTTTTCTCTCCTTACATCTTTTGATATTATTAGTGACAAGAAGTAAGGTATTCTGTGTGCCTAGTATAACAGCATGTCAAAGGTAAATAACCCAGCTGTTGTTCCTGATTTTTATTTTAGAAAGGGCATTAGCTAATGATTAATTATAAAATAAAAATAATGCAAGACTGCCCAAGGTATCTGCCTTTGCAGAAGCTGTTATGGCAAAATGTCTGTCTGGGAGATACAAAGTGGGGATTACATCTTCAAAATAAAAAGTACTTAAGGTCATGACTGGCTTCTCTAGTTTCCCTCCAGACCCTCCCTACATTTTCCACTTAAACCTCTGGAAGCTGCAACAATATTTAAAAAACAAAACAAAAAACAAAACAAAACAAAAAAAAAACTACAAAACTCTAAAGCTGTAGTTTCTTTTAAGTTAATTTTTTTTTGGAACCATTGCAAGCTTTACATACACAAAATGTGTCTCCCAAGGACTCTGCCTACAGAATCAGGGTTTTCACCAATGAAACACTCACCTACAACCTACATCTACTCACTTGCTTAGTCTCTCTGCCATCCTTCACATCTCCAGACAGCTGCCTTCAAATGAGGTGAGACCTTTCACTGTTTAAGATCACAGAATTTTGTGCTGAGCTTTCACAGACTTTTTTTCAACAGCTTCAGACTTCTCTTCCTTCTCCACTTTTTTGGCTTCCCCAGCTAAAAGGCTGGAATAAGGCTGCCTGGAGAACCAGTACTGAAAGCAGCCATAGGCAAAAGCATTTTGGAATCCTACAGCTGGAAATGGAACAAAAGAACAAAGTTATAAAAATCAGAAAAGATTTGATAAATTATTCCAGCAGATTAATACCCTGAAAAATTCTACCCTATTTTAACACTGTGTGTTGTTGCATAATGCCTTCAACTCCTACACAAAATAAGACTACGGACTGAAAAAGGCAATTCATGTATATTGCACAGGTAATTTCTGATAGGCCATGTGATCATATTAATTAAACTAGAAAAGAATAGAGACTGAGAAAAAATTATACCTCTGACTCAGTGCTGAATGGCATAAAGATGCAGTTACATCCGGAAGAAATCTTTCAGAAAGAAGATAAGCTTATGCCACACTTTCTAGCTTTTTTTTTTTTTAATACAGTGCTCATTAAGTGTAATAATGTAAACCAAATGAGTTAATCTATTAGAGCACTGTGATTATTCCTACTAGTGATCCCATGTGAAGGGGAAGGCTTGCGCACACTGCAGCCTGCAGCTACTTACCAGCTGGAAAATGCTTTTACTTCAAAGCCAGCAGCTTCCCTGTCCTATACTGTGACAAACATACAAGAAACTATGCAACATATATAGAAGATATTTCATTTGCTTTATGAACCATATAAAAATATTATTTAATATGTTATCCGCTAAATGGGAGCAGCATCAAGATTCCAGCCAAAGAGTAATAGGATTAATCTCAAGCATATATAATGTAGTATTTTAGTGAAATGTGAATCCTTCCTTGCAAACAATTGCAACAAGTGTGCAGCTTTTGCTTGTTTCCATCATATTTAGGCTACTCTTGCAAACATTTGATTTATTCCTGTATTTCTAAAATAAATGAGTATTGTTTATTTCCACTGGTTGAGTCATCTACAAATAAATGGTCATGGCATACCTTCCACTGAACATCACTGACTCCAACTTTTGTCAGGATTCTTAACTTTTATAAGCAAAAACAATGAGAAAAAGCCCCACTTAAAATGCAGTAGTGAGTTAGAAAGCTCTGAGGTAAGAGAGAAGTTGATTTGCTATGAAATCTACCTTGATGTTTTAATTATTAATTTCCATCTTTAGTTATTTAATTCTTGGGTGCCCTAGGAACATGATAAATGAGAGTATGAATGATAAATCGTTTGTGAGATAAATTAGATTGAGCTGTTTTCTTGTTTCATTTTTGGTTAGAAACACCTGGGGCATGTGAAGACTTTGCCCGATTAAGGGAACAGGAACAGCTTGGAGAAATTAGAGAAATCAAAGGACTTTACATAAAATGGTATTTCATAGTCAGTATGACAAAGCTATAAAGACCAATGCTTTGCTTAATAAAATAATCACATTTTATGGTATATAGCTTACAGTTGTAATAAATACACTGTTTCTTGGGGTTTTGTTTTTTTTTTTGGGGGGGGTGTTACTGGGGTTTTTTTTGGTTGGTTGTTTTTTTGGTTTTGTGAGGGTTTTTTTTTGAGTTTTTTTGGGGTTGGGTTTTTTTTAATGTAAACTAGTAGAGCTATTTATCCAACTACCGCTGGAGTTAAATACATTATGATACAGTTAATAGTGTATTTCCTGTAGTGAAATTTTATCTGAAGAAGTTTGTGGTTGTCTTTATTACAAATTCTGTCCTTTTTTAGGGGAAAGCTGTTTTCCCAGTTCTCCTTTTTGCTTCTCCTAAAATTGTGAGTTGGTAATAGTATTTAATGATACTCCCAACTACTTCTGTCTCACTTAGAAATAAGGCTTGAAATAATTAATTTTAATGTGTACTAATGAACCCTAATTTGTGTATAAGTGTGTTCAGGTTGTCACTAAATATATCCATTTTTTCATTTAAACAAGGAATTATAAATGTACAGGTATGTTCACTTCTACTATTCAGTCACTAAACTTTATTCAAAAGAAACAAATATATGTATGACAGGTTGGATAACAAAAACGTTAAACACCAGTCAGCTTTTTCTCTTTCATTTAAAATCAAATTTATTTTGCCTGTCTTGTTTTTGGAGCGGTTTACATTAATATGGAACGCTGGTTACATTATACAGCCCTCCATCTAGTATTTGTGTTTGTATTGTAAACATTGTTTCTTTCAAGCTTGTATTTATTGTGTTGGATTATATTTGATATGTTGATAATACAGGAGAATGTGGACTATAATGTGCTCCTTCTCCTTTTTATATTGCAGCACATCACATACTTTAGTGCTGTCTGCAAAAAATGAACAAACACAGTAGATAGGCATTTATTCCAATGTGGTTTTGTAGAAAATGGGGATACTGTCTTTGGAATAGTGTAAGCTGGTGTGGGTTAGAATGTCAGAAAGCTTTATTACAGAAGGGGTATTAGTTTATCCCAGGTGGCATCCTTTAGCTTTGTGCTGAAGGTACACATGCAGATCTATTTTGAAGGCTGTAAGGTAGTTTCAGTAGGGAAGGCATAAAGCCACAGTCAGGCCAAGGCAGCACATGAAATCAAACCTCTTTTGAAAGGAGCTAATCAAAGAGTTCTTCTGCATTGCTGGAAACCCTTAGGGAAATATGGTGTGTGTTTAAACTTTACTTGGGACAGAAATTCTTTTGTATATGTATGTATGAATCACTGTAATGCTTTACATCTAAACTGAAATTGCAGCCAAACTCAGGACAGCAAGATACAAAAAGCAAAGCTGACAGTTAATATACATAGGTAACTTATTCTGTCCCTATATGGATAAGGGGAGTATTCATACATTCCCTTACCCATACAGGGGGAGAGATAAATATTCATGTTCAGAACAATGTTGAAAATTTTAAATAATTTCCAGCCACAAATCACATCTGCTGCAGTATTCCCTTCAATGTTGCAGAGAATGGACTGGAGAAATACTGTCAGTTGAACATAGGTGTTGAAAGAGGTTGCTAAAGCATATGAAACCGCTAGGATCAATTTTAATAATGCGCAGTGATATTCAATACATCATTAACAAGATTAATGATCTCCAATAAAAAATGCAAGCTCCTATTCCATATTTTATGCAGCTCACAGTAGCTTTAAATTGCATTTTATTATTTTATTAGACATATTACTTAATTTTGCTCAAACTGGTTGTTTTACTTAAGTTAAAATATATTAAATAGATTTTTTTCCCCCACACAGAAATAGGATTTTTTTAAATGACTTTCTATAGTAAAGTACCTTTAAAATATAAATAATTATCTAATCAATAGGCTCAAGCCTGCTCTATTGCAG